AATTAAAATGAAACTATTGATTTCTTTATCATAAATGGGAAAGCAATGGTGTGTGTGTGTGTGTGTGTGTGTGTGTGTGTGTGTGTAACATTTTTAACTAGAAAATATAGGTCCAGGAAAACATTTAAAATTTTACAAGTAGAAGTAAATCTACAGGTAGAAGTAAAAATAGATGTGTTCCATCCAATTATTTAGGAGAAAAAAGAAAGGCCTAAGTCTACAGATATACAGGCTGTATAGCAAAGATAGGGAAAAGAACAAAGCCATTAAGTTTAAGAAATGGGAAATGTAAAACGAGATAAAAGAAGTAAGATTAAACATATCATTTATGATGAAAATGTAAATACGTTAAACACAAAGCATCTCAGTGTAGATTAAAAAGCAATGCCAACTACATTCTATTTTCAAGAGACAACTTAATGCCAGATGACCTAGAAAAATTAAAAGTAAGGGCTAGAACATTTATATCAGGCAAATATAAATAACATGAAACCAGGACTGACAAACTTAACATCAGGCAACATGGAATCGAAGGGAAAATGTTTAAGCAGAACAAACAGGATAATTTCCTAGGGATAAAAGTTACAAACCTAAGGAAGGTAAAGTAGTTACAAACCTTTGTATATGCAAAGCAAAAGTTTAGATATCCTAGAAAAAAAATGAACAAATATACAATTGTATTACTGCACAGGATGAGCTAATACAAAACCAAATAACACCCTATCACTCGTAAATGAAAAGAAATAAACCAAGTCAATCTCTTAAATAAACCACTGGGTCAAAGGGAAAACAAAAACTATAATCACAGAGTATTTAGAATGGAATGGTAATGAAAGCAATAGTCCTAAAATATGAGATACGGCCAAAATGGAGGGACATATTTTGACCTTAATAAGAAGACCTAGTACCATAGAAATGTTAACTCTTCCAAAATTGATATATAAACACGATTCTTATTAGAATTCTAGTGTTTTAAAAAAACAGATAAAAGATTTTTAAAGTTCATATGAAAGAATAAAAGAGAATGGATAAAAATTATATAAAATAAAAAACAGCAAGGGAGGGACTTGCCTTATATATACAGAAATTTAGCATAAAGCTGCAGGAATAAAACAGATTGGCTCTGCCACAGAACGATAGAATAAAGAATTCAGAAATAGATTGGTTGCTCTCTTGATGGTCGTATCTCACTAGATGGGACCTGTGGGAACCATGGTCTAAAGAAAGGCTTCTAGGTAGAGCAGAGGACAGACAGCTCTGGATGGCCAGGACCATGCAAAGTGGGGTGCGCAGGCAAGACAAGGTCCCAGCAGCCCAAGTGGGTTAGTGGAAGAGCTTGGGTTTCTCCTCCTGCCTCTGCCACTTCCCACGCAATGCCGGGGGAAGCCAGTTTTTCTCTCTGAGTCCTGGTCTCAGACAAGGAGACATAAGAACATCAGTGCCAGAATTGTCATTGTCATTGTCATCAACACGCCCACCAAGTGCTTACCCAATTCTGCGCCAAATCTCATCGGGGTCTGTGGCTGTCACCACGCCGATCAGAGGTTTCTTCTGGTTCTCCCACAGCTGGAAGTGGTAGAAGTGCTGCTGGAAGATGGGGGGCTCGTCCAAATCTGTGATGTTGATGAAGACGCGGGCTGTGTTTCTGCTTGAGGTGCCTCTCAGGTATCCGAGGTTGATGGTGTTGTCCATGGCCTCGATGGTGAAGCTGTATTGCCGGATGCGTTCAAAGTCCAGGGGCTGCGTTACGGGAATGTATGGTGAGCACCTGCTCTGAGCTAAGCAGTTGGCATGTGGTCTTCACAGCAACCCTACAAGGTAGTACTAGGTGGTTGCCCATTTTGTGATGAGAAGCCTGTGGCCCGGACTAGTGATATGTCCAAGGTTATCAAGAGAGAGGCTGGGCCTGGTGTCTGTTTTCAGCTACCCCCATTTCATCTCAGCAGCCTCATGACCGCACCCGAACTTTGGCACTGTGCCTGGACCCATTGCGAGTAATGAGGACTTGCAATGGATCAGCCATTGTCCTGCTCCCAGACTAGTGGCTCTATCCACTGGTCCTTAAGGACTTGCCTTTTCTTTATGCCTTTTCCCAAGATG